AAATTCCTGGTGATCTGCTTCCATTAAGAACCCTTGAAACTACTGCCCTGAGACAACCTTTAAAACTCAGACAAAAAATATCTTTAAACTTAACAATAGTTTAATTTAACCAGTAAAGAATGTCTGCCTTGAGCACTGTGCTCTTTTAAGAACTATCTATATGGGATAAAACTGACAACAGCAACTTGAAAGATTAGATACAAACCTTAGGGGGCAGTGAGTTTATGCTGGTGAGGGAGGAACAACTCAGAAAAAGCGGTTGAGAATGGTCGCACAACTTGGGGAATGTAATCAATGTCACTGAATTGTACATGTAGAAATTTTGAACTGGTATATGTTCTGCTGTGTGTATTCTAACAACAACGAAACACTATGGAGCAGTTCCACTCTGCACACATGGGGTTGCCATGAGTCGGAACTGACTTGACAGCAACCACCACCAACAACATGTGTTGGGGGGCTGGGGCCTGGGAGGTAGGGCGAGGAGAAGACGGACAGAATTTCTCCCAAGCTTCCCTAAGCCCAACGTAAGCGCAGAGGGTAACACAGAGGGTGAAGGAATCATTACACTTTATGACTCCAGCATCAAGTTTAAAGGTTCAGTGCCTACTCACCCATCTCTACCCTCACAAATAGGGACTGTACCATTTCTGTGTTCATATGCTCTTCTAACAGTTGGAATAAAAGCTGAATAATCACTTCCTGGAAAAATTCATATTTACATTCAATATTCTGATTACAGTTGCAGGGGGTTTGTAGACCTCCTGAACCAAGTTCTACTCTGTCCTATAGGGTCGCTATGAGTCAGAATCGACTTGACGGCAAAGGGTTTGGTTTTGGATTTTAGCATAATATGTGTTTAGTGTGAATCAGCTACTAATGCTAAGTGATTTAATTTTTTAATTATCACTTAATAATTATTTAATATTAATATTAAAAACAACAACCTCATTGCTGTCAAGTCAATTCTGATTGACTAATGATCCAAGTGTAATAATTATTAAAATGTAATAATTTATGTTTAATATTAATAGTAAACATTAATGTTCAGATATATAATTATTATTAATTTAGACATTATATTTAATTAAATATTAAATAAAATATAGATAATTGTTAAATATTAATAATTTAATATTTAAATAAGAATTAATTTATGTGGTGATTTATTTCATCCTGTCAACAAGCCTAATCAACTTTCAAGTCACACAGCTAACAGGAAGGGGAGCTGGGACTGAAATCTTAGCAGTCTGGTTCCAGGACTCATACTCTTACCAGCTACACTCTCAGCCTGTCTAAAAGTTTCCTGGGCAATTTTATGCCCCAGAAGCGTAGGAAGTAACTTTGACAGAACTTGAGGCACAGCTGTCCACATCCTGGCAAGAACACCAGCATCCCTGCAGTTTCCAGGCGCAGAAAATAACCGTGGAAGATTTTGAAATGGGCAAATGAGATTATTGGGTATCATTTTGAGGGAATTCTGGAGCCTCGAGGGATTGTATAGGTCCTGTGTCTGGTGAAATGCCATTAATTATGGCTTGCCCTGTGACTACAGAACAGTTTCTCCCCTTTTACATTCATTTGTAAATTCATTTCAGCATTCCTCAACTGACAATAAAAGTGCAGTTATTTTGAGCTCTCCTTTGAACTAGTTGTAATACTTACTGGTTTCTTCATTAAAGAGTTAAATAAAACCTACGGCATGCTTATTTTAGTTTTTAAATTACAGCCAAGAAAACTCTATGGAACAGTTCTGCTGTAATACATGGGGTCACCATGAGTTGGAATCAACTTGATGGCAAGTAACAACAACTCCAACTCATGGTGATCCCATGTGTGCAGAATAAACTGTGCTCCACAGAATTTTTAAGGGCTGATATTTCAAAAGTAGGTGGCCAGGCCTTTCTTCCAAGGCATCTCTGGCTGGATTCGAACCTCCCAACATTTTGGTTAGCAGTTGACCATGTTAACAGTTTGCACTACCCAAGGTCTCAAGTCACCTACAACCCCCTTGGAAAGTCTTCTTACATCTTGAAGGTACACACACCCCAATGTGAAAAACACTGCCCTAGAGAAATCACTGCACATTTTCCAAGAGGCATGCACGAGAGCCTTCACAACATCATTAGGGAGACCAAAAACTAGAAACCACTGCAACCGCCACTATCGTATCAAAGGAGAATGCACAAACAAAGTGTGCTATATCCACACAACGTGATACCAGGTAGAAGAAATAGCAGAACTACTGATACATGCGTGAACAATGACACATTCCACAAACAAAATTCTGAGATTAAAAATAAAAGCAAGTCTCAGAAGAATCACATAGAAAGACCATTCTATAAATTTCAAATCCATGCAATGTATCATTTAAGGATACATGCATAAGTGGCAAAAACTATATAGAAAAGTAGAGGAATTAGAAACACAAAATTCTAAGGACGGACAGATGGGGGTATGACCTGGGAGGGACACCGAAGGTGGGGTTATTGTTCCCCTCCTTAAACTTTATGATGGGCACAAAACCGAGTTGATTTCGACTCATAGCGACCCTGAAGGACAGAGTAGAACTGCCTCACAGGGTTTCCAAGGAGCAGCTGGTGGATCTGAACTGCCAACCTTTTAGTTAGCAGCCATAGTACTTAACCATTGTGCCACAAGGGCTCCATGGATGGGCACAGGGTATATTTAAAATTCCTTTGTATTTATATCATACATGCATATACATACATACATAAATTCTTCTGTGTGTATTAAATAGTTCATAATATTTTAAAGGAAAACCATAAATGTGACTAATTATTTCCTAAAGGCAGGGTTTGTGGTGAATTTTTTCTTTTATTTTTCTGCATTTTGGCAAAATGTCTGTTAAGAATAAGTGCTATTATATTGCCTGATAATGACTTTTAATGAAAAATATTATGCATGCACTCCATCCTGAAGTCAAATATTGATCTACTGTTCTATGTCCTGACAGCACGAATGATTAGAATTTAGCCAATTTTCTTTATCCGAACAATTTGCTTTTTAAGCTTTAGAGATATCCTTTCTCATTTCAACAAATTTTATAAAGTGTACCATCTACCCTATCACTGATTTCATTTTGCATATGTTCCTTTCAACCATTGTCCATGGGGATAGATATGAACATCATTATTTCCTAACTTCTGGCTCTATCACCTCAAGACATATGCCGCACTCAGAAAAGAACCAGGTGGTCTTCTACATCCAAAAAAGGAAATTAGGTCTACATAATAGTGAACCAGAATCAACAGCTGCATTTTCTTCTTCCTGTAGATTTTCTAATTTGTATAAACCAACCAGTCACCATGTGTGATTATTCATTTGTCCACTTTCTATCCATTCCATACATACAATCTTTAAACAGTAGAATCTTGAATTTATGCCCAGCTGAAATATTTTCCAGTGCTTGCTTCGGCAGCACATATTCTAAAATATTTTCCCGTCTTACTTTTGCAGCTAAAGAGGTAAAGGCAGAAGTTATAGGTAGGGCTTTTAGGATGGATTTTAAATAGAAAATTAGCTGACACTGTTCCTTTGTGCCTTTCTGCCAGACTCTTGCATGGCGCCTCAGTGGCCACCATGGACCACTGGGTGATATATTAAGGATACATCTCAATGCTGAGGATGATGAAACAGAAATCAAAGAGGTATGGATTCCTGCCAACTTTGATAGGATGGACTTCCAACCTCTAGATTTATTTTATGTGAGTCTTGTTACTAGCAGTTGAACACAATTCCTAACGGAAGACCCTTTTTTATTTTCTACAACACATTATCCCTTCAGACCTAGAGATAATGTATACACCTTCAGATTAATGTACACAAACTATACCTACATATTATCCTGGCACAGTCATAGTTAAATCGTGGATTGGATGTTATTTCTTAATCTAAACTTGAATTGTTTTCACTTGGAAGAGTTGATTGTCAATTGTATTTATATGCTCTATAGGTCAAGAAAGCAGCAGTCAAGAAATCAAAAGATGGATTGCACTGGAGAAAGCTACTGCAAAAGACCTTTCTAAGTGTTAAAAAGCAAAGATGTTACTTTGTGAACTAAGGTGTGCCTGACCCAAGCCATGGTATTTTCAATCACCTCATATGCATGTGAAAGCTGGACAATGAATAAGGAAGACCGAAAGAAGAATTGATCCCTTTGAATTGTGATGTTGGCGAAGAATACTGAATATACTATGGACTGTCCGAAGAATGAACTAATCTGTCTTGGAAGAAGTACAGCCAGAAAGCTCCTTAGAAGTGAGGATGGCAAGACTTTGTCTCCTGTACTTTGTACATGTTATCTGGAGGGATCAGTCCCTGGAGAAGAAGGACATCATGCTTGCTAAAGCAGAGGGTTAATGCAAGAGAGGAAGATCTTCAGCGAGATGGACTGACACAGCGGCTGCAACAACAGGCTCAAGCACAGCAATGGTTGTGAGGATGGTGCAGGATGAGGCAGTATTTTGTTCTGTTGTACACAGGGTTGCTTTGTGTCGGAACTCACTTGAAGGCACCTAACATCAACAACAACATAGTCAGTTTATAACTGGATATTTGAATGATTAATTCAGGAGGCTGCCCTCCAGGCTGTATAATTTTGAAGGAAAAGATACCAGCAAATTCTGGTTTCAGGTTTGAACCTGGGCATGTTGGTCACCTTACTTGGAGTTGCATAAGGGACTCCACACCTGGCCTTCTTTTTGAGCTGCTGTCTAACACAGTGGGCAGTGGAATCTTTGTCATCCTAAGGATTATGGTGAGCCTTGATCAGACCCAGCAGCACATACTTATTTCAGGTAAGACATTTCAGGTTGTCCTAGATTGCTACCTAGGCCCAGATTTATACTCAAGAAGCCTACCAAGTCAAACTTAACATAGAAGGAAGTGCAATACATCACAATCCACTCTTCAGTTCTCCTCCTTATACCTGCAAATCGAAATACAGTGACTCCTCCCTGAAACACCCTTTATCTTACCTCCCACTGACCATACTCTTCTTCTCCAGCCCACTGGGGAGAACCACGGTGATATCCACCATACTGTTCCGCAGATTTTCCTTCATGTTGATAAGGTTCTGCTGAGGGCTAAGGCCCAAATCTCTGCTAGGTTTCCGTTCACCATGAACATTCAAAGTAGCAGCCTTTCCAGGAGGAGGGGGAGCCCGAGCCTTCATCTTCCTCCTTGAAAATGACAACAAAAGGATTGAATGAAGTAGCAGTTTTCAACATAACAAGTTAATACAATCACCTAATAACATTCATCAGCTTTTAAGTACCTTCATCATCATAATTCTTCCTTATAAAATTGTTTTCCTCTCCTTAGAAATGCCTCCTGAGTTGCATGGCCCTTTTAAAATCAGCATGTCAGCACTCCTCACTGCTAACAGAAATTTACAATACCATATCCTCCCTAAACAATGAAAATAAGAACAGAGGAAGCACTTCTGAAAGGAAGTGTTCCTGGGAAAAAACATCCTAAAAACATATTCACAACTGAGAATGGCACTACCATACTTTTTTCAGCTGAGCAAGATGTGGGTTATTATAGCAGAGCTTGATTGGACCAGCCCTTTCTGAATCACTGGGTGGACTGCAAATCACAACTAATTAAGTGGGTTCCACTAATAGTCTGAAGTTCTGTAGTTTAAATCCCTGTCCCAGCTCTGGATCCATGGACCCATGATACTGAAGGTATTTTGAGGTCTTATCAAGACATACTAACTGGATCCAAGGATCTATGATACTGGAGATATGCTGGGACCATATAAAGACATACTAAATTAGCCAGAACACCAATCAGACCAACACTCGTCGATGCAGGACTTTGGGGAGGTAGAGACATGTAGCTGTTTGGCACAGAAGAAAGTGAGTTATCATGTCTTAATGTAGTTTGTTTTCACATTATTTCCAACTGTGCTTTGAATGTTCGACACACTGTGCAAGAGATTTCTAAATAAGCCACCTGACAATGAATCATAGACTCTGGTGAACATTTTTAGAAATGCTTGTCTACTCCAGATTAGTCAGGGAAGGCCACGGACCTTATAAAACACTGGATATTTTATAATAATAATAATAATAATCCAATAACCAAACCAGTTTCCATTCAGTTAATTCCAACTCATAGTGATCCCATGTGTATCATAGTCGAACTGTGCTCCATAGGGTTTTCAAGACTGTGATTTTTCAGAAGCAGATTGTCAGGTCTTTCTTCCGAGGTGTTGCTGGGTGGGTTTGAACTGCCAGCCCTTCGGTTAGTAGTCAAGTGCTTAACCATTTGTACCATAATGGAGAATTTAATAATGATATCTAGTATTTATTCAGCACTTAAAATTCACTAGGACCTATGCAAGTAACATAAGCTTACCTCATTCAGTCCTCAAAATATTTTGGAGCTAAAAAAACTTAGTCTCAGAGAGATAAGTAGCTTAGCTAACATCATACAATTACCCAGCGTCAGAGCTGAGGTGGAAACCCAACAGGGCTGACTCCAAAGAGCATACTCTTGCCCACCTTACTCTCCTACCTCTGACCATACTCTAGTTAGAGGATCCACAAAGAAGCAATGAGCTCTCAAAGCCATTTAAATTCTACTGGTAGAGAATCTTCTCGACAGCACTTTGACACAAGGTATCAGAGACACAGTAATTCCAATTCTAGAAATTTATCCTAAATAACCTCACAAGAGCACATTGCTAAAGGTTCAAAGATGCTCATTACAACATAACTTAAAAGGGAAAACAAGGAAAAAAAATAATCTGACTATACATCAATGAGACAATTACAATAAATTATGGTACTTGAAAAAAATGTTATACTGGTAGCCATTAAATATACTTTAAAAGTATATAATTTGATGTGCAAAAATGCTCGGTACAGATTTTTAAAAAAAAAGTGTCAAAACATTGCTTGTTTAGGAAAATTTCATATTGTAAAGAAGAAGTATACATTATAGCAATAATCATAAAACAGTCTAGAAAGATATATGTTGTTGTTGTTCTTAGGTGCCGTCGAGTTGGTTCCAACTCATAGCGACCCTACGTACAACAGAAGGAAACACGAAACAGGTAAGTTCTATGAAACAGGATGCTATGTGATTTGGACTTTGTGTGAACACCATGTTATATACTTAGCAAAGTTATATGGCATATCTTTTGTTTCACTTCCAAACTGATACTTCTCCTTTGCCTCTTGCTGCTATCACTGCTAGCTAAGTATGATCTGGCAGCCATGATGCACTTCACAGTAATATTTTCGAAATAAAATTAAACACAGAGATAACATTACAACACTCCAGAGACGTGCAATACACAAGATTGGATGCTGCTGCCCAAGAGTCAAAGCATACACTGTTATACGGTAAACTTTCTACTTGTAAGTAGGGAAAGTTCACCTTAAAATAACATTACGAAGTACAGTACAGTATATACATAAGCCAGTAACACAGGCATTTATTATGACTACCAAGGCATATGTATTATAGGTTATATATGCACTGTACCATTATACACCTGGCAGTGCAATTGCTTTGTATACAAGACACATGAGATACACGTGTTGGTGCGGGAAGCTGTACCTTCTCTACGTCTAGTTATGTCCGCTATGTCCTGTTCTCTGGTCAGGATTTCTGAACTCTATTATAACCTTATGGGACCACGGACATACATGCGGTTGAACTTTTCCCTAACGTTATGTGGTGCATGACTGTAATACGTGGCGCATGACTGTAATTACTTCTGGGTGGTGAGGTAACAGGACTTTTGTTATTTTTATTTCTCTGAATTTCCTAATTTTTCTATAATATGACTTGCATATGTATTACTTGAAAAATGAAAAAAAAAAACAAAAACAAAATAAAACTCACTGCTGTTGAGTCTATTCCGACTAATAGCAACCCTATAGGACAGAGTAGAACTGCCCCGAAGGGCTTCCAAGGAGCAGCTGGTGGATTCAAACTGCCGACCTTTTTGGTTAACAGCCATAGCACTTAACCACTATGCCACCAGGGCTCCAAAATAGAAGAGCTCAGATAAAAATGTGGAAAAACAGCAAGAAGGATTCAGATGAGACTGTAAACTTGCTGTCACTGGTCAAATACAATGTCCCTGGTTAATACAGGACTTGGGAATAACATTCAGGTCTCATCCTCCATCATGATAAGTAGATTTAATTCTTTTTTTATGTTAAAAACTTTACATTGATATAAAAATATTTAGTTTTTTCTATATCCTTATCTATTTATATACTCTTCTTTCCATCCAAAGGATAAAAACAAAATAGTCAATATCTATTGCACTATTCTAAGGGCATACATTTACTAATTCATTTATTTCTCATAGTGACATCATGAGGAGATACTATTGTTATTCCCATTTTACAGATGAGCAAGTTTGGGCACAGAGAGCTTACGTCACCTTCGCAACAATTTTCCAGACGATTTGGCTCCAAAGTCTGAAATTTTCACTACTATATTATTGGCCTCTATTAGGAAGAACAGATGTCACCCCACTATACAGATGAGAAAAATCAAGGCAGAGAGAAACAGTTACGGAGTCTTCAGTTAATCAACGTTGGGTCTAGGGCTAGAACGCAGTCTTGGAGCAGCCTTCCTGCCAGCAGTGTTACCTCTCAAAGGTATTTTCAGGGGAAAAAAGTGTTTATTTTATAATTTTTAGAAAATGAATATATTTTCCAAGTTAGTTATATGCTTATTTCTGGTTATAAAGAAACCTGGCTTGAATTCCTTTAGAACATACTGAACCAAAAAAGAAGCAGCTACTGATCTTTTTATTCATCCATCGCAGGAACAAGAGGCTGGAAAGAGGTAGATGATGTTGGACGCCCCCCTCTCCAAATAAGCAATCTGTCACTAACTACCCAGAGCTACGCTTTGTGAAGTCATTTTCACCCACCCTTTCCTATGCACATCCACTGTCACCATCCTGCCCATACTTCACCTCTAACGTCTGCACCAATTCTAGGGTCTTGTGACAAAGCTCTCTTCCTACAACCTACCCTCCTCTCAATTAACTCTGTTTCCTGCCTAGATTCTTTCACTCCACATTTACTGGGTGCTGCCCATGAGGACTGCTATCTCCTCATGCGCCACCTGCATACAGCCCACCCTGTCCTCACACACCTATTACAGACGCCCACTTCTGGCCACAGTGGAGCTGCAAACAGCAGGCTGCAAGGTACCCAGGAGGGTTCGCTGTTTGTCCAGCATAGCAGTGTGTGTGTGTGTGTGCGCGTGTGTGCACATGCATGCGTGTGCATATGTTTATGTGAGCCAAAATTTTAAAAAATGGGATATTTCACAATAATAAAATAAATTTCTGGCTCTTTTAGAAAAAATGAAAATATCTGATAAAGCCCCGAGCACCTTCAGAGCAAAGCTATGTGCTGGCATTTGGACCTATTAACTCACTGGTATTACCTATCTATCCCCTTGTAGGGCTGTGAGTGACATCCAGACCACTGAATGAGCCTGAAAACCAGGACTCTCCCCTGACCCCCAATCTTCTTCGACTCCACTGGCAATTCTGGTCCACAGTTCACTGGACAGACAGCAATGCGTGAGCACTCAGAGACTCCAGAATACGTGTCTCAAAGAACACCCTGGAGTTCTCACCCTCAGAACCATCCCCTTGCAAAGGAATGCCAAGTACTCCTGCTCTCCAGGCTCTCAACAGCAGCCACGTGGGATTATTACGTGCAGTCTGTAGGCTATGAGCAAGTGAAGAGGAGGGAGGGAAACACAATGAACTCGATCCTGGCCTGAGCTTGGCTACTTTCTAGTCTTGGGTTGGCAAGTAGATTTTCTTCCTCAATTTAATCTCATTCCTGAATGACTGGCCACCACATCTGGACATGGTGCTGAAATTATTCCTGAGGTCACATCTGGACCCAGCAGAAAAGGACACCACCACTGTCTGTGCGGGTGTCATTCTGCATGTTGAGGATTGGCTAAGACAAGGGTCATCTCGGGGAATCTCTTCTTTCTGGATTCAGCTTCCCCGTTGATGGATCAGGGATTAGAATTCTCTTCTAGCTCTAATATTCTAAACCATAGAAAAATATTAATCCAAAACCACACTGTTAAAGTAAATTTTAATTAGAGTTAGATTTTTTTATCCTAATAGTTTTATTAGTTCATAAATCAAACCAAATCCATGGCTGTTGAGTAGATTCCAACTCATAGTAACCCTACAGGGCAGAGCAGAACTGCTCCATAGGGTTTCCAAGGAGCAGCTGGTGGATTCAAATTGCCGACCTTTTAATTAGCACCTGAGTTCTTAACCACTGCACCACCAGGGCTCCTTTATCAGTTCATACTTCTAAGTAATTCTTATTCTCAGGATACTCTATACTCTTTTCTCTTTTGGGAACCCTCTGCCTCCTCC